ACGATGCTGCTGCTGTTACCTTCATGTTTAGCTAATTCACGACCAGGATTAAAAGCATTGCTGCTGCGTTCGACGCCGGAGGAGTCAGGCGAGGACGGCTTCATCCGTACACTGTTGTTATTATTGCTTCCTGGCGAATAACCACCCGTAATTCCACCGCTGCCCTTCGCGCTGTCCGAGAGTATATTCTTGCCAAATGTAAGCTTCCAAGGAGAGGTAGGTTTGCTACTGTGGGGAGCAGAATCGTGATGATCGGGTCGTAACATTGCTGCCTGTTGCTGAGAATCGGCGGACGGCAGTGGCTTCTTCGAATCGCCATTTCCAGCCGAATGTGGGCGCACCATGAGAGGAGGGATACTAACTCGTGGTGACGCTGATAGCGACGTAATATTTTCTCGACCACTGCCACCATTGTTACCAATTTGTTTCTTTTTTGTATCAGAGCCATTCTCCAACTTCCCACAGTAATTATTATGCCTATTATTATTGATGTTGTTGTATTCCGACTGGTGCTGGTGCTGGTGCTGGTGCTGCTGTTGCTGCAGGGGCGGTGTCCCAAACCACGAAGTCGACTCGCCAATCGTACTCGAGAGCTTGGGCGAATAAGGCGAATCTGGCAGAGAGAGCTGCGGCGGGAGGTGGCTACTAGCTGGCAACGCAGTTGAAGGGTGGGTTGTCGGCGATGGTGAGGTAGCTGGTGGGCTAGGCCGACGATGCTCGCGCCGCAAGTAAGAAAAGACTGTAGACGGAGGCATGACAGAGGTGAAGTGACAAGCTGCAGCGCAGGTGCATTACATTAATGATGAGCACACCCCGTCCCCTTCAAGGTTTGGGAATGGAGACTCTAGAGCTTGCGGGTTGCCCTACAACCGTTACGGAATCAAGATTGGAAGGCCATGATGTGCTGCGGCGGGGTTTCCTGATTGTTTAAGGATGTAAGCTGCAGCTCTGCGGCACCAGTCTCGAGGATCTGCCAGGGAAACCGGGCTGGATGCAGCAGGATAGGGAAGGCAGAAGAAATTATTGTCGTGTGGCGTAGCTGGCGTAGCTGGCGAAGCGGGTTGTTGTAGATTGTTGTTATGTTGATGTTGATGTTGATGTTGATGTTGATGTTTTTGTCCCGTTGCTGATCCCGTTCATTTCCCTTGTCTTGGAACCTTGTCAGCAAGAAAATGTCTCCGTCGCATTATTCATTCCGCATTGGCAGAGTTAGTGAGGGCGAGGTTCGAAGATATGGAATAAAGGAAATGGTGAGCAACAGTGGTAGTTATTTATGCGGCAAAAATCCCACGTTTACTACTATGTATATACATATTTGATGTCAATGCACGAAGCTTTGCCGCACCAAGCATGTTTGGTTCTACCCCGGAATACGCGCCTGGGGAATCCAAGGATGAGGGCGACAAGTTGCCGCTTCACAGCCTCCGCAGGCTGCTGTCTGGAACTGTGGGCTCGTTGCTCCCCCCGCTCCTCACCCTCGCGTCAACGTGAATCTCTGCTTCTTGAGGGGGGTTGGTTCTGCTTGTCCAGCGTCGATACTCTGCTCAACCCGGGCCCAGTCGCCGTGAACCTTAACCCCCGGACGTCCTTCATTCTACGTCGACACACCCATGGAAACCTGAACGATGCGTAAAATAAGCTTGCGGGCGACCCATGATCTATGGAGCGATATTCAGTATGTGGTCTCCGCAAGGCAAGTGGTATACCGTGCTACTTTTTAGGCCGAAAAAGCTTTAACATGCCATGGAATACTCCGTACTTGCAAAGTCATAACAAGTGATGTCAAGAAAGCTGCAGGTGCATCTGTTGAAAGGGGCTGGCATCCGTCACCTTCTGACTGCAAAGCGCAGTGCAGTACATACAATACATCAATCTTGAACTTATCTTCTCAAACCGCAAATTGTTTTGCCGGGAAATGCGGTGATTATGCGGTTTCATTTACCCACAGTAACCCCCTCTCGCTCAAGAAGGGACTTTTCTTTTCCCAGTTCACATATCGAAAGATGAGCCCAAATTTACGGCGCAGTACACTCCTTTCTTTTGAGTGAAGGGAGTTATATTCAATATGTGCTTTCAAAATATGTACCCTACATGAGAACCACTAGTTACAACCGTCGTCTATATTGCGCAAAGAGCCTGGTCAGAACTAAAAACGCCCGACCAGCCGGAAGACAGGAAAAGGAGAGAGAAATGAAAGTATCATAACGAATTTGTCGTATAGTTAGGATATCGAAATATTGTTCGTACACAAGTGAGACGTTTGGACGGGCGCTGGAAAGGCAAAATACGCGATGGCGAAAAAAGGATGGCCATGACAATGGAATGGCGATGACGCTGATGAGATATAAAAAGATCACAAAAGACAAAAGTGAAAAAATTAAAAAAAAAATAACAAAATACGAGGCTCGAGAACTCCAAAGTATGTACAAGCCACAAAGTAGAAAATCCCAATGAGACCGTATAGAGCAGCGCCACGCCCCTATCGCTGGCTTTCTCGCTCAAAAACTGGAAAAAGCAGTCACTAACTCTGTGCCCTGTCATTTCCCGTTCCCGAGATGGCTAGTTAGTTCCATTACCTGAATGTGATCAAAAGAACGATAGGGAGGATTCAATGGATATTGAAGACATGGAGGTGAAAAATAGAAAACGGAAAAGAAAAAGAAAAAGAAAAATGGAAGGAAATCGCCTCGCTATGCCTCGTCATAAAAGCATCTCGCTATGAGAAATTTGCCATAAGCGCCCTCCCAAACACACAACAATGGGGCGGGCGGAAGAAAATAAAGAAGAAATAAGAACCTTGAGAAACTGCTCCAAACCAACGGCAAACACACATTCAGAAAACGAAATGCCAAAAATATATATTTCTATGTGTGTCGTAATCTTAATCTTCTCTATCCCATCACTTAATACCGCACGCTCTGCCTCCACCGATCAATAATATCGCGTTGGCCAGGGTCGATAATGGCTTCGCCTGCCCGCGCACCAGAACCAGCATTAATGGCGTTCGGGTATCCATATCCATTCCGATACGACAGACCCGTTCCGAGATCACTCATTCCGGTCATGGTGGTGTACTGTATGCCATTGCCCATACCCGCTCCGTTAACATGGCCGTACCCATATCCCATAGACGCGTACTTGGCACTTTTCCCCCCATAACTCTGCTGTTGTTGCTGCTGCATATTCATAGTCGTACTCGTATTCGCCGGAATGCCATTTAGTGGTATTTGGTGGGAGTGAGAATGACGCATAGCATTTCCAAATCGAGCTCCATTATTGAGATACAGATTTTTCCCGCCGCTACGCGCCGGATGCGCTTGCAGGACACTCGCCATACTATGTCGCTGCTTGGCAGCGACTGTAGCAGTGATATTATTTTGCACCGTCCCTGTTATACCCGCTCCCTCTGCCTCTACCGCCTGCGCCTTCTCGGCCTGTAGACGTCGCCGGCGTTGACCGAGCGTCTCTTCTTCCGGTTGCTCTGTGGAGTCTGCAGGCTGCGGTTGTGGATCCTTAGACTGCTCAGTCGACGAGTGTGGCTCATCAATCGACGCTGCGCCAAATTGACTCAGGAGTTCATTCGTGAAGTCCCTCGATAGCCTTTCGTTAACTTCTTCGGATTTTAATCGACGGGCCCGTTGAGCTAACGTCTCCCCTTCCTCCTCCTCATCTTCTTCCCCATTGTTGTTGTTGCCATTGGCATTAAGATCGCTGGTAGATAGGAAAACCGTGCTTCCTCGTTGCATGGAACTGGGAGACTTTTTGCCAACATAGGGTTCGCCACGGATGCGCGCCCGACGCCGACTGAGAGGTTCATTTTCTTCCAACGCCAGCTTCTCCATCAAGCCAAGGGGTCTATTTTCATCATTTTGCACATTTTTAGGAAACAGCACGGCGAGGGGCACGTCTTCATCGTCTGGTTCGTTTCGTTCAGCGATCACAGGGTCCTCCCACGCGAGGGTGACGTGTTTTTGGTTTCGCGTTTCACGTTGGTGTTGGGCGACAGCGTCCAATTCGAGTAATGTCGAGTGCATACCATTGGGGAACGCTGTGGCTGCCGTACGATTTCGTTGTTTTTGTTCTTGCTTGCGTATCTGGAGTTCGGCCAGGAGGGTTGTTGGAGCTCCAACGTAGGTTGCCTCCTCTTCCTCCTCTTCCTCCTCCTCATCCTCCTGTTCATTATCCTCATCATTGCTCCCACTTGAATTTTCATTTCCCCCAAGGCGATCCTCATTTCTTTCCCCACAATCCCGCTGTTTCATATCATTGTGAAGATCTGAACCCACGCGGTCTTGATCCCCTTCATACGAGTCCCGGAATCGAGTCACCTCATTACTACCCTCAATAGCATGTCCTTCAGTCTCGTGATTTCCCTCCTGCCCAATGGTACTAAGCTCGCTTCGGGACAGCATGACGCTATCCCGATCTGCAGCAGATTTGCGGGAGCCATTTTTGCCCTGCTTACCGGGAAGAGGCTGTAACTTTTTCTTTGTCTTGGGCTTGCCGTAGACCTCACTGCCAACTTGGCCTGCGATTGGGTGATCGGTAAAGGCACTAACGGGTGCAAGGGCTGATGCATCAAGAATGCTATCAAGGGTAGCAACGGCTGAATTCTGCTTGATTTCAATGTCCATCTGGACAGGGGGGAGGTCAAAATAAGCGGAAGCGCGTAGCTGTGGTGGTATTTCCGATAGTCGCTTGGCAGTCCGTGCTTCCTTAGATTCTTTACCATTATTAACTAGATCTAGCTGAGATGACCACACCACCGACTTCCTTGCACCTGCTGAGAAGGAATTGACGAGCTGCGAGCGGCGTTTTTCGTAATGCGGTTCGGGTGATTTTTTCGATCGCCGGGGGGGAAGGTTAAGCATCATTGGAACAGGCGCAGGATAAAACACCATATTTTCACCCGGGGTTGGATTGTTGAAGGATTGTGATTCTCTGGCGAGAGGTGGTTTCGTCAACGAAACACGGCCACCCGGGACTCTCTCTCTGGGTAGGGGAGCGAAATGAACTCCATCAAAGTCTTTGAATAAAGATTTTGATTGCCTGTAGGTATCCGTTGAACCTGGTGTTGGGGAGCGCTCTTCGGAGACATTCTCGTCGTATGTAGGCTGAGGATGGTCGGGAGCTATAGGTTGTTGTAGCTGTTGATTGTCGACAAGGTCGTGCTGAGGAAGCTCGAGAGGAGGCAGGAATGGAGGGGCAGAGAGGGGTTCGTGGGGTTGGGTCGACTGGTCCTCATTTTCAGGTTCAGGGAACCCAGCCAGTCGTAAGGCAATTGAGGACGATCTCACGAGAGATGCAGGGGCATCAGTTTGTGAGGAGGAGGCAAGCATGACCGCGTTCTTTTGGGGTGCGACGTAATCTCCTGGGGAGTATCCGCTCGACCTCGCCGCGGTATTTATGCCAGTGATCGAGTTCGATTGCGAGGAGGTGAAAATTTCGGAGGCAGGGGACCCAGGGCCAAATGGATGGGGATCAACAGCCCTGCCGCTGGCAGCAACAGAGAGCCTTCTTTGTTCTTGCTTCAACTTGCGTAGTTCCTCCCCTATATTCGAGGAGGTGCTCAGGGTTTCTGCAGATTTTTCCAGCCGCTCAACATTTCCCACGTAGGCGCCTTGTAGTGATTGAAGGTCGGGTGTTGGGTGGCAAAGAGGAACAGGACACGCAGACACAGGGGATCGAATAAGGGGCTCAGCTGGCGGCGCGGTTGTGGCGTTTTGGAAGTAGTCACTGGCGGAGGAGTCGAAGTTACTGTTTACAGAGGTGCGGTGATTGGATGAAGAAGAAGACTGTGAATCATTATTAATGTGATTGGCCTGGACAAAGCCATTCGCCAGGTCGCCATGGGTTGCTGTGGTATCGTAGTTGTCTTCGTCCAGAAGGTCATAGCTGTTCGTTAAGGCGGACCCTAAGGATCTCATAACCGAGCCTAGCGATGGGCTGGGCTGATCGTCGATTCTCGCCACCTTCATAAACCTGGACCCTCCTAGATTGTCGAGGTCGAGCGTGATCTTCTCGAAAGCCTGGTGGATTTTGTTAGGAGAGGCCTCCGATATATCCGAGACTGAAGCATCGGAGGTCATTTCGTCATTTTCGTCGGACTGGGAGATGGCATTGTACTCCATAATGAGGGCGACGACGGGCGACGGTGGTTACGGGATGACGCCAGCGATGCCAGTTCTATATTGAGAACAAACGAATGAAAGAGATGCGGATGCAATCAGCAAGCGAACGGAAGCGTATTGGTCGATCCAAGATGTGCGAAAGGGGGAGAGAGAGGGATCAAAAAAAAAAAAAAAAAAGAAAGAAACAAAAAAGAGTAAGCGAACAAAGGAGTGAAGTTGAGGAAGTTGAGGAAGTTGGCGGATGATGGTCTCTGTGGCTCTCAGGGCAACGACTATGGCGGAGGACCAGAACCAGGAACAGGACAGGAACCGAAAGGCCAGGGGACCACCTGCGATCGCGGGTATGATCTCTCTGTTTCGATGGGAACACTGGGATAAGCAGGGAGTAGTTGTTGCGGTGACAGGATGAGGATGGTTATTGTTCCACCGCGCACAAAGCCACCTTGCCAATTGGAATGGGGGTCATCTGTCTAAAAACACTTTATCATTGCATTGCAGCGAAGCCTAGGGGTGAGTTCTTTTTCCACTTCGCCGTTCCGTGTTTGGTTTGGGTTGTAGAGCAGAAGCATAGCAATGCAATGTGTACTGTATGTTTGAAGGAGGGACAGAGAACAATTCTACACCGTGAGAGAAAGTGGTTTTATTAAACAATAACTAACCAAAATATAATAAACTAACATACGACATAAGACGAAAGAAAAAAAACGATCCGACAAAATTCTGCGTAGGAAGTAATCAATCCATAGTTATAATATGAAATGGTAAGCACTTCTCCAAGGTTGTCAACTCATTTTAACCGCCTAGGGATCCATGGGTAAGGGTCCTCATCTAGAATCGAGCCTAGACGCTCAACTCCGAATCAACGGTGGATGGCAGGCTGAGACAGGGTGCTTACCATATATTTACCATGTTCTCGTTGTCAGTTGGCAAGGCACAGGAAGACAAGGCCCAGGAACACCCGAGAGGCAAAGCTTGCTGCATCCCGTCGATCATCGCTGTTGAGATCTATGCCCATCGATGGACTGGGGATGGACTATCTATTTACATTAGTTATACACTGGGCAGTTCTCGGATCCAAATATCTTTTGTCTCGTACTCCAGTCCACCGTGGTTATTCGATAATAATTGTCAACGAGCAGTGATAACTAGTCAACTAGTGATGGGACAAACGTCGTGGAGATAAGATGGGAACTAACCTTATTGCATCGCGGCATGGCGCATTGTGGTATTTACATGTTGCCGGGTTTGTTGCACGATATATATACTCCATGCATTGATAAAAGATTTCGTACGGAGTAGTTAGCAAACTCACTCGATGTAGCTTGAAACAAAGAGACCAAGTTCTTGTCCTTGTTCTTTGCCTTTTCATTGTTATTTCGCGTGACTACTCTGGAGATAACCCACTGGTAATTAGTTGCAAATTTATATTTAGTTGACTTAGGACTCAGTGCTCCTAATATGGACAAAGAAGGGTTGTTTTCTACTTCTTTCCCCTCCCCTTCTCGTTAAAGATACTTCTCTAACCAAACATCCATGTATGCTCCGTATGCTCCGTATACACTCTAAAAAAACCCCTGCATTCACGATTGCACGATTGAGAGTTAAATTCTCCACTGGATAGTATCCCAGCTCGGTTTTCCAGGGATGCAATTGACAGCCCCAGGAACCGAAATTCTTGTGAGACAAAGCGTAAGCTACTACGGAGTAAAAAAGTCAAAGTTGCCGACGATAGTAACTTATATTACTATTGTTGGGGGCTTGAAAGGTAATCGATCGACGCAGCATGCTCTTTCACCCGAGGATGTTCACACGAACTGCTATTGAATTCCTGCAAAACTAGATGAGGTGAAATAAAAGTTGATCCATAGCTAACTATAAAATACTATTACTAGATAGAGGTGTTGATGATCCGTGAAAGTGCAGAGATACAAAATAGCAAAATTTGCTTCTCCTTCTATTACTATTTGTTGTTACTTTCATACATCTAGATATCCAATGATAATGACTAGATTAATGCCAACAATGGAAGCTTCTATACATCCTCACCCATTTATATACTATGTATATCCCCCCCCGCAATCCGATCTCTCATTGCAAGGGAATCGGGGAATATTCTTATCACCACGTGACAGGAAGCGGTTCAAGCTCGACGCGAAACGGAGCAAACATTGATGGACCTGGTTTAAATCGAAGGGCAGAACATGAATAGTACCTCGATCAAAAATGGCCTATTATGACATAGATGCTATTCTTACAGATGCCCAGGTATGGCATTCATCCAATCTATTTGTGTCTTTTTTTGCTTCTTTTGAAAATAAATTTCCAGATGGCTTTTCATGATGGCTGACGGCGGCGGGGTGCTCGCTGGTTGGGGGACAAGAAACTACCATGCACCTTCGAACTCGAGGTTCCAGGGCTGGGTTACCTGGATGGCAATGTTGGGGAGGACGTACGTAATTCTCTTTTTTTCCCCTGTAGTCTACGCGTCTTGCCTTTTGCCGTTTGCTTTTTAGTCCTGCTGTCCATGACGTCGAGTCGAAGATATCCCAAACTAATCTCACCCTTTCCACCTCCCCAGATAAAACCAGGTACCCGAATCGACCTCCCCCTCTGGCTCGGCGAGATGCTTGCTGTTGGGTTCGTCCTCTACTGTACCCATCCTTCCCCAACTACCATCTTAAACAACGCAAACACCTACCAAATGCTCTCAATTTCCCCCAATTCCTCCAGGCTCACACTCATACAGCGCCCGCACCGACTCCTCCCCCCTCGTCACCCTCGACCTGCCCAGCGCCCTCTCTGAAAAGGTCATGAACGCGCTAAAAGCCGACCCGCGCACCGTGGACCTGCGCTCCCTGGCGCCGCACTTCTATAGACTTGGCGTGCGCATCCTGCAACTGTTTGAGGAGGAGGAGATGGTTGATGTTCTTATGGAGGTGAGTTGGTGGTATATATATATATATATTATATACACACACATATATATATACATATTCATGTGCTAGGGAGGAAATGAGACGGGGTTGCGGGGAGGAGGGGAGAAGAATAGGTAACACGGCTTGGTGGGAAGGTTAACCGTGCTGATCAGCATACACACATTTTTTTTTTTCTCCATATGGGAAAATTTAGACATTCAAGAAACGCGCGATGGAGATTGCGGACCATGCGCATAACTCGCGCGGCGCGCTGGGCGATGGGGTGGAGTTCTTACGTGGGCTGGATGAGACGGAGAGGCAGTGTGAGTTTTCTTTATACTTTTGCCCTTCTTCTTCTCTTCTTCTCTCCTTCTTTCCGTGCCGTGTCGTTATATTTTGTATTTCTCCTTGAAGTGTTGCCTTTATTTCTTACCCCGTTAATGCTTACTATTCTGTGTGCGGGTGGGGACATATATCAAGTATTCCGAGCAGCCCATAGCAGCGCAAAGGAGATGCGCGCCTGGTCAGGGGAGACGAGGAAGAAATAGGTGAAGAGGAAGCGGGATGGGAGGGAAAAAATAACCGAAAAAACAAAACAACTATTATACAACTGGGGAAGTTGAGGGTATAAAATACTTTGTGCCAGCAAAGAATTCGTAGATTGGGATTCGCTAAGAAATCGTGATTGGGGAGTCAGAGTTGGGCATCCATATATATATCAGGGGGTGGGTGACTTTTTTTTTTTTTTTTTTTTTTTTTTAAGCTAGGCGTTCAAAGGGAATAGGATACAAAGAAATTGTTATTTCGTACTCCGTATAGTTTCCTATTCTCATATATTGCTGAATTATTATTAGTTCAGGAACCGCATGTGATTGCTCAATCACTCCCTGACATCTACACAGTAGAAAACGGTAAAACGTAAATTCGTTTCATGTCACTGGCCAAGGGAAGCAAGAAATCTTGACGGTCAAAGCGTAAGGCTTGAAAGGATGCAATGCAGAACATGATTGGCTGGATTGGACGGCGAACCAGCAGCTCGCACTCTATCCGCCTCCTTTTCGGTCGTAGGAAGATACCAAGTAGGAATGCCCGGGGATATTGACAGAGCAGACGTAGGGTCCCGCAGAACGCAAACATGGCTCTGCTGTGTCCCCCTGCTTGTTCGGTTTGGATTCATTAATCCAAGTCAGTTGTTGATCCAGCCCGGTTCCCCGGTTCCCCTGGCCCCTGAGCCTAACCTAGAAGAGGCTGGACAGGATTGGTTCCAGGGCTAGCTGCGGGGAGCAATGGATAAAAACGTCCAGCTGGGAACGCTGGCATACGAAGCTTGAGAGGGTTCCTGGCCCGAAGCTTGCTGGATTGGCCGGTTTTATGTTCTTCTTCAGCTTCCAAACCGCGGATTTGTGAGAACCAAATAAGTAAATTATAATAAATAAGGAAAATAAGTTAATAGCAATTCTTCGGTAAATAGCAATTTTTCTACAGACTCAGCAGCGGAACTTACAGGATTGACTCCACTTGTGATGTACTTTGTGATGTACTGCGTTAGTCTGATAATGATAGGTTGCGGGTGGTGCTCTGATCGCGCAGTGGTTGGCTGGCGGATTGCATCGAGCTCTCTTTGAGCCAGTGGAAAACTTTTGAAAGGGGGTAGACTATAAACCATTTCTTCTCTGGATGAGAGCGATGAAAGCTTTCATAATAAGACAAAAGTGATAAAAACTGCTCTGATGAGAGATCCTTTTATGTTTGATCCTCCTTCTCTTTAAGTAGTAGGAAATATTCGTATAGGAAGATAAAACCATTGTGAAACAAACTTTGGTAAAGGATAAACCAAATTTTTGTCGAAGCTTCATTTTTGATAGAGGAAGGCGAATGCTTGGGGGCCACAAAATACATATCAAAAATAAATAAAACAAAATCCTTTGCAATTGAATTTATTCTACAGAGTAGATTAACTGTTTTTTTTTTGGGAGTCGATTGAGGAGTTTGTGTGAGTTCTGGCCCAGCCACCGCCGAAGAAGAAACGAAGGCCGTTGCGGCTCCTCACGTCCTCGCCTGCCCCTGAACCAACTTTTCACCCTCGATACAATTCAATTCTCCAATTGACCGCTTCGTGGTTCCACCGTTCTCTCTTCTTGCATTCTCTCTTTGCCTTTCTACGGAACTATTATATTCATGTTCTATCGTCTCTGACTAACTTCCACGGCCGTCCTTCACCTGTAACTCAATAATTCTCTCTCTGATACTGCTATCACATCCTCGATAGCTGTCCCCACCCTGTCACTACATACCAGGCAGGATTCGATTCTCTGCAAGTCTAACGGAAGCATGCTCGTCTCGACAATTGAAGCTCTGATCTGAGGCTCTGTTCCAGGTCCAGTGATCGACACGGCAAACTGCCCGACTTCAACAGCAACAAAACCCTTCCTATCCATTATTTGAATAGAGGGGAATGTTATACAATCGCTCCTTTATATATATATCTCCACATCCTTACTGGCGATTGATTCCTCATCTTGTTTTGGCTCTGTTATAGGACATCGGATGTCTTGGCTGAAGAAAAGAGAGCTTCATTGTTAGCCATCAAACATGGATACTCAACAACACTACAGGCACTATCTCGCCAACGGCCCCGCCTCATCTCCCACAGTCAGGGTCGCCTCTCGCTCTCACAGATATTTCTCTGGTCAGTTTAGGCTAATTTGAATGTTTTCCTTTTAACCAACCATTGAATTGTTCCTGATTATCTTGACAGCTGAGCCCTCAACCCCCGATCACTCCCATCCCATCAAGCCCACTTCCCAGAGAAGAAGTACGAGAAATACTACTACCAAAACTTATACAGGTATGTACACAATACCACTCTATCTCCTTGAAGTACGTGCTCGGGTCAGGATTCTAACTTGTGGAATATGTTGTAGATGCATCCAGAGGATCTGCCAGCCCCTCTTCCATTCAACACGATACCCCACAGCGTAAGTTTACTTCCTAGCTATCTATTTCGCAAGGTGCCAATGAATTCTGCTTGACATATATAAACTGTTATTATTATAGGTACCAATGACTCCACCGGATCAACGCCCCTGGTCAACCCCACTTCTTCCTTTCTCAAAGGCTTGATAAATGAACAGCGGGCCAGCCGCAGCGGGCGGAGAGCGGCGTCTGAGCACCCGAGCGACATCCACATCCAAACGCCCACTACAGCTCCATCTCAGGATGATTCGTCGTCAGAGAAACAACGGAAAGTCAACACTATTTTATCCGCCGGATTGAAACAGCCTAGGGAGATGGCGATGAGAGAGATGGACCAGGTAACGATTCTTCTGATGTCCAGTTCGCTTATCTTGCTAGCCAGCATCAGCTGTACTGACCATCTTTCAGTATGTTTCCAAACTGAACAAGTTGAACTTCGACCTGAAATTGGAGATCTACCATCGATCTCAGCAGCTCATTTCGCTGGAGAAGAAGCTAGAACGGATGGAGACATTAGAAGAGGAGGTTCAGAGGCTCCAAGGGGTAGAAGCGGAACTGCAAGAATTACGCAAAGTAGAAGAGAGCAATCAGAGGCTTCGGGATTCAAACGAGCACCTTCGACTGGAGCTGGATAAGCGAGACCAGGCGGTCAATGAGGCCGTGGAATTGATTTGTCAGCTCGAAGCGAAGATAGACGCGCTGGAGACTACTACTAATGATGATGATGATGGTGACGATGATGGGAGGCCAATGACTGCTCGTCCGCATACCAGTGAGGGACTCGTAGCTTCTCCCAGTATGACCCCAAAAGGCGCGCCCATTTTTGATATACCAGATCGTACCTCATCGTGGAAAGCGACCAGCTCCGCGCGTTCATTGCGATCCCGTATGGAGGCAGGGGGTACTTCAGCACGGATGGCCCGGCGGCACCCGTCGTTCCTTCAAGAAAGCAGTGGGAGCACCAGCGCTCTTCGTAGCCTTTATCTTACCGCAGACGAAGAGCCTGCGCTGCAAAATGGATTCAACACAGATTCTCAAAATGGGAGTTTTCTTTCAGGAGACGAGCCGTCAGAGCCAGAATCGCCCAGACTCAGCATCCTCAGTGAATGCAGTTATCTGAGACCGTTAGCTACCCCGTCAAAACAGATTGAAATTGACTCCACAGGCAATGGCGCGCTCCCGAGAAGCTTCTCGCAACCCATTTCCAAATTGGATCTGAAGCAGGAGGAAGAAGAAGATGTTAAAATGTCGCAGATCGATCCGTGGATTCAGCCTCAAGATGGTCTGCTTGTTCCGGCTGGGCAAAAGCGACATAATAACTACTTTCAAGCGGAGACATCAGAGACCAGATTAAAGAAAAGGCAACCTTCTCTTGGGACAGCATTCCAAGCGCACGGCCCTGCTAAACCATACAAATTCACCACATCAAAATTGGACGGACAGTTATTTAATGGAGGACGGTTACCGCCTACACCAGATACCATGAGTACGTCCAATGCAGACGCAATGAACCGGTCGAATTCGAGTATCATCGCAGAGAAGAGCCTTTTGGACCGGGGCCGTTCGTTCGCCAACTTTTCCGGGGGGAATTTTTCTCTACGACGGCCCAGGTCTGCGGATGACATTACAACACGGCCAAGTACAGCGAATACAGCTCTATCTGGAACAATGGAGACGTTGACCAATGCCACGCAGCTTGGAATTAACCCAGGTCGGGACCGTCCTGGGAGTATGTTTCCAGCTTTTGGTGGCCATGTGCCTGGTAGGTTGGAGCCGGCAGAGCTTTTCCTTAACGGGGATCTATCTAGGCAAGATAGTCGGGAATATGCTGGGGAAAGTACAACCACCAATATTAATACTACTACCCCAGAGGATAGTAGTGGAGGTAATACCCCATCGGCACTGCGGAAGAGATACTCTCCGTCCCTGACATCCACACATTCGGAACCACAATGTGAGGCCTCAAGTTCAAGTTCACCACCACTTACTCCCCAGGACTGGTTAGAAGCAGCATTACCAGCCGATGGCGGCAAGCATCGCAAGCCTTTGAAGGTTTCCCGTCAGCACTCTCATCAACATAGGAGATCCCATTCCACAAATACCAAAGAGTCCTCTTTGCTCTCAACTGGTGACCCCGCCACACTGACGTCCACAACAGAAACAACGCCATCAGGCAAAGAAAAAGCAGTATCCAAGCCCGACGAGCTATACCTGCCGTCCCCCACAAATCTCCGCAGTCGCATCACAGGCAGCAAAAAGAACCAGCTACAAACAGAAAACGCGGATCTGCCCCGTCGCCGTCTCAGCCTCCGACCACGCTTCTTCAGCCGCGCCGTTACCGCTGCGGCCGCTGCCTCCCAACGCCAAACCAACCCTGACTCTGTAGATGACCTGGATGGTGCGCCATCGCCCAAGATTGGCAGGAGCAGACGAATGAGCTCCAGTCGCCGCAAGAGTTTACATATCGAACTACCGTTGCCGTCTAGAGTTAGGGCTGATTTGGGGTTAGGAGGTAATGGTGGCAGTAGTGGAAGTGGTGGTGAAGGTAGCAGTCATAGCAACAACAACGCGCAAAATGGGGGCACGGATATCTGGACATCACCGGCTTCGATGATGTCAACACCGCGAAATGGGGCCACAGACAATCGCGCGTATACATCGGGGAACCCAGAGACTGCGAGTAAGAGACGTCCTAGCTCTTTCGGTATCTTTGGTTGGATGCGTAGCACGACGAGCTCTGGTACCACACCAACACAGACACAGGGCAAAGAAAACAATAACCGCAACAGCCGCAGCTTTACACCAGCGAGAGATACGCCTACACCCACCGCCCCAAGAACAACCGTAAGCGCTACGGCGTCCCCCACGACCACGATGACATATTCAGCCCAATCCCGTCCCAAATCCCAATCCCGCAAAGCAAGTGACAGACCAGCAACGGCCTACACTCCTATCACCGTCAATGATCGTCAGGCCAATACCGATACCAATAACAAAAAAACTAATAATATACATATGAATACCAATACTCCGCTAAATACGGCCATTGCATCATCTGCGCCTACTACACCTGCAGATGACTGTGTGCTAGAGAAGCGAGGATCGAGATTTTCTCACAGGCGAGCGTCATGGAAGCCCATTGTGTGATTTGTTTTAACTGATTCTATTACCTGGTTTATTCTGTTTTATTATTATTAAAAGCCTCGGGAAGAGGGGAACGGGGAGGCAAGGAGGAAGGGAGGGCTGCCGGGGCAGTGGGTTGCTCCTAATTTTTTATGTCTTTTCTTATGTGATTCTCTGTTTCATCGCTCTTATGTCTTTCTCTTCTTTCCCACGATGTATTGTACGTGCACACGTAATGATGAGTGCTGATTCACGGCCAATGTTTCGCTGACCTACTACTTCCGTTCCTTTTTATACGTTCGTTCTGAACTTTCTGCTATAGCGTTTCTCACTTGCGTTGTCCCCTTTTTATTCTATTTCAACTGAAATTCACTGTGTACTTCTCATTTTTTATAAACGCACTGCAAGCAAACACAATCCCAAGGGAACCACGATATGAGGATGTTTCTTATGCTATAACCATGTTTATTAATGGCCGCTGGTTGATTTCCGCCCTTCTCACCCCGCCCTTTTTTCTTTCTTTTTCTTTCTTTTTCATTTATCCTTTTTATTTTCCGTCCCCATTCGTCTCTGTACGCTGAGGTCATGGGTTCTTTCTTTCTTTTCTTCGTTTTCAACACCATGTTTTATTTATCAAAAATACGTGTGGGTCCGGGAACTGAAACGATAGTAATGTGATGGACAATTCTCGCTTCAGAATTCACTTGCGGTAGAAGATACCCCGGGCCCACTGGGAAGGAGAGGGATGTTGGAAATGGGGGTATGGGTGGATGGCGTTCGTTAGATTGACCTGAGGATTTTGTTATCTTTATGATTGTTGTTGTTGTTGTTGTTGTTTCTAGCGCTTGAACTACTTTTCTCTCACACACAACAAAAATGTAAAAGTAAAATAAACAAACACAAGATCAAGAAAGGCAAGAAGTCAAGTAAGTAGTTAAGTAACCTTTGCTTAAATAAATCTAGCTTTTCTGAGATCCGAATACAGAAAATACATGGTAGGCGAATAAAAATATTAAAAAGGTGATCGACCTGTTTTATACATCCAACTACTTCGGAAAGCTATGCATCGAGAAAACAAAGAAAATGCTATATGTATATATATATATATACATGGAGCTGGCCAGTTTAAAAAAAAAAAAGTAATTGCAGTTAACAGCGGGTTGGTGACTCGTTGCGGATTGTTGCAGATAGGGTCAGAGAGGAGCCGGGTATTTACTCCAATGTGTCAATGCCTGCATGCGTTTAATCGCTGATGCTTTTCAGTTTTGGGCGAGAAAAATTGTTCTTGTAGAAAAGGTTAGTTGTGTGTTTTCAAATAGCTATATACACATATACTTTTAAACAAATCGCTGCTCAGCAGCCTTCCAGTTCACGACGTCCCATACAGCGGAGAAGTATTCTGCTTTGCGGTTTTCGTATTGAAGGCTGGTAGGTGGATGATATGTTAGATTTGTGTTTCTATTGAACAAGAGAGGGGAGGACTGACTAGTAGGCATGTTCCCAGGCGTCAATGCCGAGCAGGGGGACAAATTGGCCGACGACAGGGTCTTGGTTCTACAGTGGAAATGAGGGTCAGTGGATTTAGTTCCCGAAGCATCCAATGCTCTCATTATCTTCACAAAACGCGAGGGTTGGCCCTTACAGCGTAGGTCTTGATCGCAATCTCCCCCGTCTGCTTGTCCTTAACCAGCCAAGCCCAGCCACTGCCCTGGATCCCCGCCAACGCCGTGTTGAAGGTCGACTTGAATGCGTCATAACTTCCAAAGGAATTTTCAATGGCCGTACCCAGGGCCCCGGAAGGGGGGTCACCGCCTCCAGCGCTCCTTGGGGCCAGGTTCTCCCAGAATAGTGTATGGTTGACATGGCCACCGCCGTGAAAGTTGGTGAGAGCCTGCAGTGCCACCTGGGACTGGATATCTACTTTTTCTTGTGCCGCGGCTAGTTTCTCGACTGCGTCGTTGTAGGAGTTTACGTAAGTTTGATGGTGTTTTTTGTGGTGGAGCTCCATGATCTTCCCGGAGATGGATGGCTCGAGGGCGCCGTAGTCATCTGTGTTGGGCAAGTGTTGGCAAGGGATTGGATCAATTGTCAAACGGACATGGCTGATCTGAAGGGCTTACATTTGAGATCTGGGAGGGTTGCTTTGGTTGAAATGAGGCGTGCTCCTGCAGCTCCCGACATGGCCACGGCATTTGATCGAGTTGCCACAGCTCCGGCTCGGAGGGCACCGCATACCGTTGAGCGGAAGACGGAGGTAGCCATTGTTGCTGTGTCGAGGACGATGTTTGTTTTGGGAATAAGGGGCAGTTCGTTAACAGGTCTATAGGGATAGAAGATGGCTGTTTGCTGGATCAGAAAGAGCCTGGAACCCGGAATTGTATATACGTAAGCATCTATACAAAGACTGTTTGCCTCCTCCGTGGGCATGCCGTCGGGCGTTCAAATGTTGGATGTTGTTGAAGTGGGAATTGTCCCGGCTTCCGGCTTGGCCTAAGTGATGCCGAGCAACGGCTACGTCATTCGGCTGGAGTGACTAAGCCGAAGTCAGCCCGGGAGTTATTTATCTCTGTGTTATTGTGAGGGTCGGGTTCGAACACACTGTAACCCGACCCACCTATAACCAGAATAGCATTGTGATTAAGAGGATATACTAAAACTGACAGATACTTCCTCCGCTAAGTTCAGTTGCATAAGATTCATCATTCCTATCATCAAGGTCCATGTTTGAAGCCTATCCAGAATAGCTCGAGTTCACCAATCAAAGCCGGCCTTCTGACATTCCCACCCTCATTGTACACGCAAAACTCATCTGCAAGAGGCCGGGCAAACATTGAGGGGTGAGGGGTGAGGGGGTGTTGGGCGTCACAGTCTCTCCAGTCGTTTGATGAAGCGTTGATGGTCGAGCAGCAGCTTCCTCCTACCCCTCGCCACCATCGGTAATGGTATTGTATTGGAGTAGTTTTCAAAGACTATGTTCCTGAAGATTAAACGCCCGCCGGACTCGCGCATAGAGGGCCTTTTATAACTGATCCTACGGGTATTGTAATGGCATCTCGTTGGTAATAATGACGGTGGAGCTCTTAGCGAATAACTCTTTTGGATATTCCCTCCTATAGTCACCAATCCATGCAAGTGGTTGAAGTGGCGCTCCATAAAATAAAATTTTCCATATCCAGCGGATCCCCTATTCCCGGATGCGGTCGGGGCCAGAGTTTGGCATTAGCATTATTAGCACTGCCTTTGGTTGAATTTTTGGGCAGCGCAGGGACAATCCCAAGAAAGAGATGGGTGTTAGACATCTGAGTGCCGCGTTTGATCTTCTGCATCCCGTCGGCCTTGCTCCGCGTCTTGTCGACAGTATTGCTCATACTTTAAAAGGCTAGCGCAGCCTCTGAAGCTCATCGTCAGCCATTGTAATGACAGATAGAGTTGTTCAGTACAATAGACATGTTACGAAGCCATGAAAAGATTGACTGTTGACGGTGGTCACGTGCGCGATGATGAGCTAAAACCAACCGCTTCTGAGGAGTGGCTGCAAAACCGTCAACCTTAGCGTTTATCGTCATATGGAAATTTTGAGTGTGCCTAGGTGAGGTGGCCGTGTTTTATGAGTCTTCCTTTTACAAGAAGAAGGAAACAAGGCCGGTTGAGCAGTTTTTAGACTCGTCCTCCCCATGGATTGGCCACCGCGAACATCTTTTGCTGGCCAGAAGCGGAAAATTAACGATGTCAGTTCTGAAGATGAGAAGGAATGGGACCAGAAGCCTGCTGTTGGTTTTCGCCGATTTGCACCGCCGACAGTGACACTCTCTCCATCACCCCCACCTACCATGAATGCAAAATCTGGTCATCGTTCAACATGGGAAAATGGCGGCGGTTCCACTCTCAAAGGACAAAATCGGGCGGACAAGGCAGGGCCTGGTGGAAGCGGAAATACATTTGCCGCCCGAATGATGGCTAAAATGGGGTACCAGAAAGGCCAGGGCTTGGGCGCCAGTGGACAGGGGATGCTTAATCCAATCGAAACAGTATTGCGACCTCAAGGAATTGGTTTAGGTGCTGTCAAGGAGAAATCGCAACAGGCGAAAGATGAAGCAAGACGTGAGGCTGCTAGGCAAGGGGAGGTGTTGGAAGATAGCTCGGATGAAGAGCGTGAAATAAGGCGGCGGCGGAAAGAGGAGCGGAAGAAAGGGAGTCGGAGTGGAACAAATACCCCCAAGGGCCCTGTGAAACCAAAGTTTAGAACTGCGCGCGAGATTGAAGCGGATACGGCTGGATTGGAGGTTCCGAATATCCTCAAGTCGTTGGTCGATGCCACTGGCAAAGAGCAGAGGTTATTGACGTCGACGGCTGGGTTGATGACACCGCTGGAGTTCGTGAGCGCTGACGAAAGTGAGGCTCTAAAAATTGCAAGGAGAGCAAGGAATGACCTCGAAGCTTTTGCCGATCAATGGAAGGCACTGGTAGAGAGAAAGAAATTTGTGGAGCTTGAAGAGGACGAGGTCGTGGCAGAGTTGGATACGCAAGAGACTAAAATTGGACAACTTTCTTCATTATCTTTGGCTGTGGAAGCGTTAGAGAATTTTAGACTTGATGACAACCTAGCAGGACGATGGGAGCAAATCACCCGGCAGTTGGAGGCGCTGGAAATCCAATACGAAGATGTATTCGACGAGTATCAGCTCTCTGAGCTGGCTGTTGCGGCGGTTCACCCTTTATTTAGGGAGTCTATGGAGGAATGGGAGCCACTGAATGACCCCACTTACTTGGTGTCCAATCTCCAACGGCTTCAACCTATCTTATCTCGAAAACCTCATAACGTGCAGGAGGGTGACTGCAGGCAAAAACATTCCACCACCCCGTACGAAACCATGGTATATACTATATGGCTCCCAAGAATTCGCTCTGCCATCCTCAACGACTGGGACGTACATGATCCGTCACGCGCAACAGCTCTGATAGATGCCTGGAAAGATGTGTTACCCGAATTCATATGCTCCAATGTTCTTGACCAGCTTATTGCCCCAAAACTTAGCACGGCAATCAAAGAATGGAAGCCACGAAGTAAGAAGAAACGAAATGGAACTTCGTCCCAGACATCACAGTTTCCATGGTGGCTCTTCGACTGGCTACGATATTTAGACGAACGACATACAAACCCCAAGGCTCCAACCGGACTCCTATCTGATGCGAAGCGAAAATTCCGCTTGATGTTGGATACCTGGGATTTGGATAGTGGGCTCCCTGGTGGCCTTGAATTTTGGAAAGAAGCGCTAGGCTCGGAATTTGACACGGCATTACGAAATCATCTCCTCCCACGTTTAGGCAGGCACCTCCGCGAAGAATTCGAAGTGAATCCACAAGACCAAAACATAGACCCGTTCGAAAACATCTTGAAATGGAAGGATTATTTCAAACCAGCCATCATCGCTCTCCTCCTCACCGCTGAATTAATTCCCGAAATGGCATGCTGTGCTACACCTCTGGCTCACGTCCGAGCCTAACTACGAAGAAGTTGGCCAATGGTTCTCATGGTGGAAAGTCACAAGTTCCCGATGAAATCAATGCCGTCGACGAAATCGCCGAAGAATGGGAAACGGGGACTTGAAAATGATGAACCTTGCACTTGACCCTGGGTGACAGGGCCAAGACAGAGCTGCCACCGCCAGTCACCAGTCAACAGAGACAACAACGAGACTTGCGAAATCATATCAAGCAAAAATCCTCATCCACGCAAGCACCGGCTGGAGCCTCTAAATCCCGATCAACGCAATCAGCCAAGCGCATCGAGGAGCCGACATTCAAAGACGTCGTGGAAGAATGGTGTGCAGATGAGGGACTTATCATGATCCCACTACGCGAAGCACATGTCCAGAGCGGCTTGCCATTATTCCGTATCACAGCGAGTGCCAATGGAAAGGGTGGAGTGCAGGTGTACCTCAAGGGAGACGTGGTGTGGGCGCAGAATAAGAAGGCAAGAGACGTATGGGAACCGCTTGGGTTGGATGGCGTGCTTGTAGGACGGGCAGAAGGGAAATGAATACCTTGGCCCCCTTTCCATACTCTCTTTCAGTCTTTTTTTTTCATTTAGCTTTTGATACCATTCTCATTCATGTCAGTCAGGGGATTCGTGAACGATATAAAGAAGCCAAATTTTTATGTTTCCCTAGTAGGGCTTTGGATATATTCCTAGTGTTAATGCAATACAGCATATGAAGAAATAATAACAATGATAATAATAATACTCCTCTTATACCCTCTTGCCAACTTCTTCACAGGGTGATTGGATTGCACCGGGATAGTAATTAAAATTCTAAATCCGGGCCGCATCAACCCTAGTTTAAATTTCAGCGCAGATAGTTTCTGTAATTTTCATAATATCTTGACAATATCCAACTGTCCGTGAATGCCATCTGCAGTTTCTAAAAACTGAAGAATGAAAAAAAGTAGAAAGCAAAAATCAATTTAAATGACATTATAACGAGGCTGTGGGTGGGTCTCTAGTTATATAAAAAGTAGCAGCGGCAATGATAATACCACAAAACAACAACACCATGCGCAATACATGGGACGAAGAGCAGAATTGAAGATGAATGTACGTTTCATAAATTTTTGCGAAAATGAAGGTGGGCAAGGTTAAAATGTTCAATCTGTAATAGAAAAGTAACATCGCTAGAGGTATCCCATTCCTCTTGCGTTTCGGGCGACTTTTAAACTCTCCTCCCCTTCTCCCTTCCTTTCACCCTCACCCTCACTCTATTATATAAAAGGCATTAATTTCATTAACGTGCGTGACTTGCAGTGGAAGGTATTCATTTTATCCCTTTGCACTGTATTTTTCATTGAATGCATTTACAGCTGGAGAGAGAAAATTAGTTTTGCTGACAAAATAATGGAGTCAATCAACTGAGACAGTATGTCAAAGCTCAAACATACCAATAGCAATCTGTTTATATAGCCAATTTCTTGCACTCTCGTCCTGTACGGGTATGAATGGGCCGTTTGCACCACCCTTGAGAGTGATACTCATTCCCGTTCGCTCTTTGGAAATGGTTTGGATATCGGTTAGCTTAATGTCCCACTCTGTAGTCAGCCGCTTGGACCGAACGAGCATAATGCGATTATACGTGAGCATGATCAGCATGTCCTTGCCCGGGAACTCGAAATGCGCAATATAGTCGTCGTTGAAGTATTTGCCATCGTCTGTGGTCTTAAGCCAGAACTGGCCTAGCGCTTCGCGCTGTGAATAGGGCCGTACGATGCCATCCATGCCAATGAAGCGGGTGAGGCGGACACGGTCCAATCCACCAGAGTCGAAAACCGTGGTGGTGTTTCTAACTCCTTCGGCGAGGTCTGCAAAGTGTTTTTCGTTAACACGAATAATTATGTTAAGAGGAAGTGATGGAAGTTCTTACTGGAGGCGAGATCAAAAGCACCTAGAGCTGGCTTGGTCGCAAGACCCAAAACGCCCTTTCCCACCCCTTTCACGAAACCTTGGAAACCTTCCCTTTCAGCACCTTCCAAAGGATGGCGTGCTAGACCACCGATACCACTGGCCATACTTTGAGCAAATGCATTTCCGCCAGAGGTGACTCCATATAATGCATGCTTAGGCCGGTTGCGTGCCCTCGCCATTCTTCGTTGATCTTGGAATTCTTTGTCCAGAGTCGCTGCCGCCAGGCCCTTTGACAAACTTCCGGTGAATTTGCCATACTATCCGAGAACCCAAAAACGGACTTTTTGACGAAACTTGTAGCGCCTTTTGCAATTCCAATGCCTAGTTCCTGTGGTCGGTCCGACATCACGAGCCCTTGATACGGTTCATAAAAGATGTCGACGAAACCTGAGCTTACTGTATTAAACAGGCCAACGGGATTTCCTAAGAAATCTGCCGAACCAATAACGACGTGGATTTGGCGGAGGAATTCTTGAGTGTAATGGTTTGTGACACTGGAAAGCAACATAGGAATCGATACCCTGGCGTTTTCCAACATCAATGCGTTTAGACGGACCGGAGCATCATTGACATTTCCCATAGACATTGTCAGGACGTTGATGAAAAACATGATTGGATTAGATGGCTCCATAGTGGCCTCGACATTCACTCGCTCAGTGCGCACGAAAGAAAGATCTAATTGCATAGGTTGGAGATGTAATACCTCAAAATAAACGTCTTTGCCATGTTCCTCGTGCTGTGGCTCTGGGATATCTAGATCTTCATCACAAAGTCTTCCTTCTTTCTCTTCAGACCATGACGCACCAGGCACTTTCACAAAATCCAACATCGCAAAAATGAAATCCTCGTCAAGCTCTAAAGTCATTTGTTGCAAAAGGAGTGTGGCGTATTTGATATATAAGACGCCGTACGAATCGTCTTTAACACGGGTGATTTTAGCATGGAAGATAGGATGTGCTTCCATCTCTTTTCCCGTTTTCTGCACAACACTCGGATAGAGCAGCATCGGAAAGATACCACCGTAAAGTTGGTTGTCAACCTGGATCCATTTTATTGTCGTATCGATGGTTTGGTAGAGTTTTGATTCGCTGAATTTGAATTCGATATCCCGGAAGGTTAAGTAAACTAGCTCCTTAAGTTTCTGGTTGATCAAGGATATTCCAATACCACCCAATCGAAGCTGAGCTCTAAAGTTGACATCAGATTTGATATCTCTCACTTCAAAACCAGAGGAGACACTAGTAGGAGAGGATACAGCATGGTGCTGGAGGTACATGCTCTTGGAAGGCTTATAGTTTGACAGAATAAGCGTTTGCGTTGGTCCCTCCGCCGAGATATTGAGGTCAATGATCTTTGGTGGGCCGTGCTTTTCGATGGGTGGAACTTTCATTGGAATCAAGTTTCCAATCTCAGCTAGTTTGATATGTCTCTCCTTACCACGACAAAGCAGAACAAGGGATTTGTTTTTGGCAGCTGGATAGTCCCATGCATAGGGCATGATGCTTCTAGGTGGAAGCCGGTACCTGATTGGACGCCAGCCGGGTTCTTGATAATCATCGTCCGCATCTATATTCGGATTCTAGTGAAAGAGTCAGGATAATGTCTGCAAATTTCGAGGAGTGAGACTTACAGCTTGGGAAAACATAAATTCGGTGTCGCTTTCATTGCGCATTGAGAAAGGCCAATGCAAAGTTTCGTTAGTAATATGGAGGTATATTGTGGCTGCTTCCATGAGAATTTCTATTCGTAGAAGTTTTTGGCGCTGGTTCGCTTTGGCAAGCTTGACATGGATGGCTCCCAAGTCCGATATGTTAAACGGAGAAGACCACTGGTTATTTACACCAGGGAAACATAAGCAGAGCTGCTTTTGGGGAGCATTTCGCAAGAAATGGAGTGGAACTAGATCACCGTTTCGGAGACTGATCACAGTTGAGGAACCCGGTTCACGAGCAATAAGGTCTTCATTCAGCTTGTTGTTCAGGATGAAACGAGGCGCAACAGTGACCACTTTCGTAAGTTTGTATTTCCCCTCGCCTTCCTCAACTGATATGCCAGCATGGTACTCGGATCTTCCGTTTGACGCAGGTAGAACGGTCTCAAACTTACTCCCTATGGCCTCAAAACTTTGGGGCTTGCTCCAGGAAGAACCTTCTACCCGTAGAATGGACCTGTTTTTGCGATCCGTCGTAGGATATGAGTACATGTATGGTAAAGCCCTCCGGACGCCACTGCGCCCATCTGTCCTTATAGCTTGACCAGGAGTTTTGGTTGACTGGAAAAGGCTCTTGCTTTGGAGGTTAAGATCCAATCCCGTCTTATTTAATATCAGATAAGGGCTGAAGATCGAAACTTTGAAGGCTCCTCCACTATCCGGAACAGTAAAATAATGCAGCCCAAGCCTTAATTCCGTACCAAGGTCATCTTGGACTGTGAGTGTGGACTCTCTCCGGAAGTCTTCCTGGGAATTTCCGTTTATATAGCAAATTCGCAATGTCTAAACATCG